ATTAGACTCCACTCCTAATGAACCGGTTCATTCTCAGGGGGAATTGTATTATTTTCTTGACAGAAAATCTACTTTTTAATTTGGAGATCTTAATTACACAACGAGATGCAGGCACAGGTTTCTCTTGTGGTTTTTATTGCACAGTTGCACACTAATGTAACAGTTCAAAATCCAGCAGCTACAAGTTTCTTTACATCAGGTAAAAACTGAGGGAAAAGACCTGTATCCTAAGAGAACAAAAGGCATTCCCTGTTACATATGTCATCTGTGAAGGCAATTATTTTAGTAAATTGTGATTACTCAGGTAACATACATTACAATACACAATGTAATAACTGCCATGAAAACAAGACGCATAAAGAAAAAAGCAAAGATGTGCCAAGAAATACAAGTTAAGACATTCAAAATTAAGGTATGCACATTTCAAAGCAAATGCTATTAACTATGAAGTTGAGCAGAAAAAGGGACCCTTCCTCAAAAGTAAGCCATGTGGGATTCCAGTGCTGTAAACCCCAGTATATTTTCATGAGATCAAAGCAATCTCTGTTTCTACAGCTTCCAGAGCCAAAAGACAACTCTCCTGTCCGACTTGCAGTAAAAATACCAAAGCAAGCCATTCATAACAAAAAAAGGCTGGTGGTATACCTATGTTTCACTGTGTGAAACTTCCAGAATATTAAATGGATTAAACATTCAGTGTGAAAATTCTGGAACACAGGAACATGGATTAAACGTTCAAATGTTTAATCAGAAGTCACTAAGAACGAGACTTCTGATAAGAATGACACTGAACAGAAAGGCAGCTGGAAATCAGACCAAAAGAGAGGCATACCTACACTCAGAAACCTTCTACTCCCTTTTCAGTAAGCTGTTCCCAAATTCTATGTTATACTCCTTAATTCCTAGCACTTCTTGCCACAGGAATGCCTCTCAGACAGTACTGAGTTACTATGAAGTGACTACTATGCAAGGACAAGTACATATATGTGCTTTGACCCTTTCGTATTGTACCATCTAAAAGAAGAGCTGGGAGATGCCTACTCAGACACCTTTCAGAGATGAAATTAATTGTGCAAAATCATTACAAGTATCAGCTCCAGTCCAACAACCAAATCAGTGTCCCTTCCAGACAACTGAGAGAGTAAGTCAAAAGAATTCTATACCATCTCATGTGCAGGTACATATAATTCTTGCAGTTAATTTGCTAGGCAAATACAGCCATTGTATAAATGAACATAAAAGCTAAAAAAAAAAACAAAAAACAACTCACAAAACCAAAACCAAACCAAACCAACAAACAAAAGACTGTAAACCCAGCAAAATAATTGTAACAGAGAATCCCTGTAAAGCTTATTTTTGTAGCACAGTAAATCTTTTTCTAGGTTGTCCCTGTATTCAGATATTTGTGTTGAAATTGAAATCGATTTCTTTTATGTCAGTATACTCAGATGTGATTTTTCTCTAACTATGTATGGAGAACAGCTTATCAACTGCATGACTGGATAATGCACCTATTCTCCAAAAAAATAAAAAAAATCCACAATAGTTTAAAAGCAAATCTCTATGAGCATTTTAAACAGATCACTGAAAATAGACTGTTCAACATCATTTCTGATGGATGCATGGTGGTGAGGTTGTTAAAAAAATTTACACACCATTTAATTCAGTGGAACAAACCTAACTATTGAGAACTCTGGTTGTGAGCAAACTACAGCATTAACAAGCATTAAACATTCACACTGTAGCAGTTCCCTAAGAACAAAGTATGTATTTTGTATCTGCATGTGCTAAGAAAGTGATATTAACCACTGAAACAAGCTCAGTGGATAAAAGGTACAGAAAAACTTTGGAAATTAGCAAGGCAACTAAAAATTCTTGAGCAATTGCATGAAGCTTTTTAAGACCCATTCATGTATGACAGGGATATTGATGCAGGCTACCTACAGCTAGCTTAGGGCTGCTGAGTCACCTGTATTTTTAAATGTGGAAAGCAAAATTAAGACATCTTTACATTACAGTTTTTCTAACTACTAATAATGAGTAGCAAAAAATCTCACAGATAGATAAGATATATGCCAGCTCTGAATCACTGCCATCTTTTTACAGGATCCTGCTCAGAAAAACATTTGCAAGAACAGTGATGAAAAATACCCTCAAGCTTAGCAATGTCTAGATCATGTAGATTCAGGAAGAAAGTAAAAGAATTCTTTCCCTATTGCCAGAGCTGTAAATATCCCTTCCAAAATTATTTTGGAACCTGTCATTCTCTGACAAAACCATCACTGGTGTGATTCATCAGACAAGGAACATAGTAAAAAGTCTGATGATGCCAAAGACTGTATAGTTCAACCATTTGGTACAGGTGGTGTCATTTGACAAGAGTTAAGCCAAGATGGTAATGTTCAACGAAGAGTAAGGGCTTGCAAGGGGTAACGAAACTGAAGGTACACTACACAGTAAATATAGATTGGAATAGAAGGGAGATTTTCTTACATTTACCATGTAGAGTCACTCTAAAGTTAAGCAGCCGCATTTAAAATTGCCAAGAAGAAAGGTGCAACTGTTGCAACATTAACAACAGCCTGAGGTAGAGCTATTAAAGCAGCAAAGGCAGGAACTGGGCGCTTAACTGTTTAAACAAGAATATTCAAAATACTTAAAATCATCAGGGTCACACTAGAAAGTGTTAAAGTGCTTTTAAACTGAACACTCGGAGTTAGAAAAGTATTGATTCTGAATTTCTTAATTTAGCATTGACAAGCTGGTGCCCTGGCTTCACTTCTGCTGAATCACACCAGCAAGCAGTGACTTTGCTTACTGGCAGAAGCAGACCAATAAGAGCTGTTCTCCAAGAAGACTCCTCAGATACAATCAATCAGGGTCACATCATAAGGTTACAGACAGATTTGCTCCTCATCAGAAAATCTGACCATACATTTAGGACATGAACTTCATGCACAGGCACACTGCTAAACACAGTAAAGCATTAAAAGCCAGTGAGAAAGGTGCTCTAGAAAAAATTATGGCTAGTAGTAGTAAGCTTTAGAGGTAGGTAACACTTGTGGCAATTGGACCGTAACTCAATCAGGCTGCACAGCTGGCAGCTTATACAATAATTTTGTCTGATCCCCAAATAAATTTCAACCACCACTTAACTTCGTTACTGTAAGGTGCTATAAATACAATCTGATCCCCACTTGTCCTGAAGCTAAGTAGCATTTTTTATAAAAGTACATCAAGACAAAACACTGAAGAGTGCACTGGTGCTCTGTGAGTTACTGAAAATAAATCTTTCAAGTATCTAAATGCCGCAATTTGTCCATGCTCTCCTAGCACTGGGTTAGGTTTCAGAAACTGTTGTGGGTTTTTGTTTTGTTTTTTCCACAAATCCCATTGGAAGGGTCAGCTGAGGCATATTTAATTTTGCTTTCCTTTGAAGTTACCAGTTTCCTGGGATCAATTGGACATTTTTGCCATTCTTGAGATACTGGTGAATTCTCTTATGCTCTGGTACATTAGTAATACAGAAAAGTAAAAAGCTGCCAAAGCTAAAAGCTTTGACATTTGTTACAGGCTTTTAGAAAAAAGTCTTCTGGCTTATGACGTAAATAGAATGGACATTCTGTGGCAACCATATCAAACACGGATCATAGGGTCAATAGAATGGAAAGAAGTTAGATTCTGCAAGGCATTTTTTCCCTTCTCTTGCCATCCTAAGCACAAAGCAAAAAGGAAGAACATAAAATGTCTCTGTATATATGACTAGAGAAGCTAATTCTCTTCCCAAACCTCAAACAGTTCCACAAAAGGACCTGATCAGTATTAATCGCAAAATCACAGCATGGTTAAGGTTGGAAGGGACCACTGGAGGTCATCCTCTCCAACCTCCCTGTTCAAGCAGGGTCACCCAGAGCACATTGCTCACATTGTGTCCAGATGGCTCTTGAATTAACTCCAGGGAAGGAGACTCCACAACCTCTCCAGGCCACCTGTTCCAGTGCTGTCACCCTCACAGTAAAGAAGCTCCTCCTCATGCTCAGGTGGAACTTCCTGTGGTTTAGTTTGTCAGTTGCCTCTCATCCTATCACCTGATACCACCAAGAAGCATCCTGACACCCTGCCCTCAGATACTGATATACATTTATCAGAGCCCCCTGAGCCTTCTCTTACCCAGGCTGAACAGACCCAGCACCTTTAGCTTTTCCTCATAGGAGAGATGCTCCAGACCCTTCATCATCTTAGTGGCCCTTCACTGGACTTGCTCCAGGAGCCCAAACTGGACACAGTACTCCATGTGAGGCCTCATCAAGGCTGAGAAGAGAGAGAGGATTACTTCCCTCAACCTGCTGGTAACGCTCTTCCTCATGCAGCCCAGGACACCATCTGCATTCTTGGCCACAAGGACACATTGCTGCTGGCTCATGGATAACTCATTGTCCACCAGGACTCCCCAGATCCCTCCCTTCAAAGTTGCTTTCCAGCAGGTCAGCCCCCAGCTTGGGCTGGTTCATGGAGTTATTCCTCCCCAGCTGCAGGGCTCTGCACTTGCTGAGTTTCGAAAGGTTCCTCTCTCCATCCTGACTAGGTCCCCTTCTGAAGGCCAGCACAGCACTCAGGGGTATCAGCCACTCCTCCCCATGGCAGCACTCTATCCCTCCATCCAAACCACTGGTGAGCAAGCTGAACGATATTGGTCCCAGTACTGACCCTTGGGGGACACTGCTAGTTATAGGTCCCCAATTAGACTTTGTGCCACTGATCACAAACCTAATACTTTTCACTTCTTCACGCTTCCTGCTTGACTACATGTTTTTAGTTGGGATTACTGATTTGTGCAAGTCACTTGAAAGAGCACTTAAAGAAAGACAGAGCAATTCAGAAAAGAGGCAGAACAATTCAGAAAAGATCTCCTGCCCTTATTCTTCCTTTAGCTGTCAATACTTCCTTACTGATTCCTGTTTTAAAGCAAGTCAATTTGTTACAGGTTAATATTACTTCTTAAAAAAAAAGAAAGCAAAACTAAAAAACTCCACAGCTTCTCTACTGAAAGTCAAATGGCACTTAGCAGAACTGAAGCTGGCTGTCTGGCTGTGGAACTGTTGTGACATATACTGAAGAAAAAGGAAAAATAATTGAAAAAATAAGTCTGTTATAACCAGGTACTGCAGTCTGGACTGACATTTCATGGGCCATCTATGGCCTCATCTGCTCGGCATGGTCCTTGGGCTGCTCTTCAGCATTCAAGAGATGCCTGCTTTGGAAGGATGAACGGACGGTTCGGTTCATTAATGGCTGAAGAGGGCGAAAGTTGTCTACCATTCTCTTTTCTTCTTCACCATCTGAAGTAAAGAGCAGCATCCGAAACGCCTCCAGCTGAGAATGAGAAATGTCCGGTTTTGTGACTTTACTAACTGGAGAGTTATTGAAGTTCACGACAAAACACAATCATTCATGCTTGGGTAACAAAATCAAAGGTATTATTACATTTGCATTCTGAGAAGTTTTTACCACAGACCTGTGGCACTTCTTTGTCACCTGCTGGTAAAGATATACCATCAGCCATACCAGTGCAGAAGATGAACTGTCAGTCATCTGCTATCTTTAGGCAAACTAAATCTGAAATGTGGCACATCTGAGATGAAACTGACTTCCAGAGATGGAACATATGCTGTCTTTAAATAAACCTCTCCAACCTTCTTAATTTACACCTTTTCTGGAGTTCTTTTAGCTTATACTGACGTGCGTATGCTGGCGCCCAGAAGAAATGGAAGCTCAGTAAGCAACAACCTACGTAGCTGTTATACTCACGGGTTTCTAATTGGGGATTAAAATGAAGTATGCAGCAGGTCAGGCTTTAATGCTCACAAGGGCATTACAATGTCAAGTAAACTATAAGCCTTTCTACGCCATAAAAGAACAAGAGTGAAAAAGAACCATGGAACAAAAATAAAAAGAAAAAAAAAGAACAGAAATGAAAAAAGTTTCAATTGAAAATAATAATGCTCCATTATGCATTCAGTTCTCTGCTCTGTTAACAGTCCTCAGTTTGTCCTGTCCTGTTCCTTTATGTAGACTAAAATATTAAGATCACATACATGACTATTCTTCAGAGTTTTAGCTTGGACCATGACTCTCCATACAAAATTGTATCAACCCCCCCCCCAGTAAGTTCACAATTTGCCTCATGTCATTGCACTTAACAATTGCTAACCAAAGCCTCAAAAATTAGAGACAATCATAGAATAGTTAGGGTTGGAAAGGACCTCAGGATCATCCAGTTCCAACCCCCCCCCCCCCATGAGCAGGTACACCTTACACTAAACCATGTCACACAAGGCTCTGTCCAACCTGGCCTTGAACACCACCAGGGATGGAGTATCCACAACTTCTCTGGGCAACCCATTCCAGTGCCTCACCACCCTCACAGTAAAGAACTTGTACCTTATATCCAACCTAATCTTCCCCTGTTTAAGTTTGAACCCGTTACCCCTTGTCCTGTCACTACAGTCCCTTATGAAGAGTCCCTCCCCAGCATCCTTATAGGCCCCCTTCAGATACTGGAAGGCTGCTATGAGGTCACCATGCAGCCTTCTCTTCTCCAGGCTGAACAGCTCCAACTTTCTCAGTCTGTCTTCATATGGGAGGTGCTCCAGCCCCTGATCATCCTCGTGGCTCTCCTCTGGACTTGTTCCAACAGTTCCATGTCCTTCCTATGTTGAGGACACCAGAACTGCACACAATACTCCAAGTGGGGTCTCACAGGAGCAGAGTAGAGGGGCAGGATCACCTCCTTCGACCTGCTGGTCACGCTCCTTTTGATGCAGCCCAGGACACGGTTGGCTTTCTGGGCTGCGAGTGCACACTGGAGCTGGCTCATGTTCAGTTTCTCATTGATCAACAACCCCATGTCCTTCTCCACAGGGCTGCTCTGAATCTATTCTCTGCCCAACCTGTAGCTGTGACTGGGATTGCTCTGACTCAGGTGTAGGACCTTGCACTTGGCATAGGTAAACTTCATAAGGTTGGCATCAGCCCACCTCACAAGCGTGGCAAAGTCCCTCTGGATGGCGTCCCTTCTATCCAGCCTATCAACCAAACCACACAGCTTGGTGCCATCGGCAAACTTGCTGAGGGTGCACTGAATCCCGTTGAGATTGCACACATAATTCTCAGTGCCTCTTAAACCATTAAATAACAGTAGATTTTTGGGGGTTGTTAATTTTTAGTTGCTTCGCAACAATCTCCAAGACTTGTTCTATGCTGTAATGCCCTTCCAATTACCGCACAACTCTGAACAGACAAAAAAAATCCTGAAAACTTCCAACAAAACCCACAAAAGTAGTAGAATTCCAATGAGTCCTCCTTCTGATCATTTTCTACGTGTCCCTACATCTACTTCATACCAAGGAATACCATCACATTGAAACATGAAGTAGTGAAATTAAAAGCAACAGAAGGCCTATGGTGTCAAGTTAGGGTTAGTCTAAGGACGGGCAATTGTAAACAAACTTTTACACTTGAAATAACTTCCGTAATACAAACGTTTCCTGAAAAATTTGTCTGTCCATTTTAAAAAGGAATTAAAAAAAAAAAAGGGGGGGAATTCAAGGATGGTATAGCCAAATATATTGAAAACATGTCCAAAAGGCAAAGGAGAAAATCCAGTGGAAACTCACTATGGCCATCAGAATGGCATGTGAGCCACCCACCCACCATCACTTCTGTATTTTCAGACATCACACAAGAGAAGAACAGCAGATGAGCTCTTGCAGTCTTCACAAGATTCCTGTGCAAATGCACAACATGACTATCGAGAACACGTACACAAGGTCAGATTTTGGAATTTCAGAAAACATGTCCTTTCTTCTCACTCCCTACCATAAAAAGAGCTGCAACCTGGTAAGGAAAGCAAACAGAGTGACAACAAATAACCTTCAAAGTTTTTAACGGGCAGCTTCCACCATAAGGCATTGCTTATCACTGATCAAGATAAAAGTATTGGAAAGCTGGAGAAGTATCTTCAACTGCTTACTAGAGAGATCTTAAGTCTTTCAATATCAGCTGCTGTTTATGTCAGGATTCCTATTCAAATACTGGGTGTGAAGCAGCCACCAATCTCTGTATTCATAGAGAATTACTGGTACTGGTAAGCAACTACTTCTGTGCACCTTGCCCTCCATGGCAGGGAGGTAAAAAGGTATATGGTACGATTTGAAATGTAAGCATGAGATTTACCTGATTCTCATCAACCTCTATGGGCTGCTTCTTAATAATCCATGTGACTGATTCAGTAAGTGGGGGAGTAGTCAAAGAGCCCGCATAGGTCCAATAATCAGGGCATGAAGGTATCAAGCAGGAGGGATCGAAGACATCAAACTCGATAACAGTGTCCTAATCCAAGAAAAAAAAAATTAAAAGTTGTATTTTGAGGCAAAAAAAGAAACTTAAAAATATTAAATGATTCAAAACAATATTAAATACTGTACATGTTATGTATGCATATGCAAAAATAGGTATTGTGACTATTAATAATTATCTAATAACATAATAATTTAAACCCCCATAAACTTGTGCAAAATTGGTAAGCTGGGTTTGAGGTGCTAGAGGCAGCTACTGAGTAGACAAAATTTAAGTATTTATGTTGTCCCCACAAGCCATTAGGAATTCAGGGCAGAAGAACAAGGAGTGCAAAGGAACAACTGACTGTGTCTCTGTGGGAGCTAGAAGCAAACAAGAAAAAGAATAAAAGAATAAATGATGGAATAAGTTCAGGTTGCTCTGCCAGATACGCTTAATAGACTGCAAACAATAGTGCCTTTTTCACCACATGATTTTAGGCAGCTGGATAAAGGAGAATGACTGAAGTTTTACTGAAATCATATCAAGTATTCATGTCTCCACATTCACCTCCACAAGTGAGACACCAGACAGCAGGAGCTTCAGAGCCCATGATTTCCTACTTGAATGTTTTACTTCTGAGATACTTCCAGGATATACAGGCAATGCAGAAAGGGAAGACTGTGACAGGTTTTATCAGTTTCCCATTGAGAATGAAAAAATACTACAGTATAGGATTTTTCAACAATAGGGTGTTGGACAAGAGATTTTAGATGGGACCTTTCACCCTGCATGTGAGAGGAAGATGCAAATACATCAGAATGGGTATTATCTGACCTTCCTCCTCCTAAGCTGGGTAATGTTCCTCATTGTTTTGTCCTTAAGGCAGTGATAACTAGGGAACAAAGGTTTTCATACATTTCAAACCAAGTGCTGATGAGTTGCTGGGTGATCCTTTGGGAATTAGATCCCTTTTGGAGCAGCCCACATGCGTCTTGAAGAGCATTATATTTGATATTGTATTTTTCTTTTAAAGACCTTGGCTTTAGTTTCTTTCAAACTCGCATGCTGTAAAATACTATATTCTCATCATGGGCATAGGTCTTTTAAGCCCAGAACTGACTTGTTTGGCATTTATCTGGCAGAATTTTATGTCACTGCCATAAATATTCGGTTTATTTGGATTTTGGAAAATCCTTCCTGAGATAAATAATGGCACAGCGACTTCAACTGGATGCACTTACAAGCCAGCAAAATTCTTGATGTGTATTTTCAACGTGTGCTTTCAAAAACGCACGGGCCCCTGGAAGAGCATGAGCTGCTACTGAGCACTTACAGAGACGCAGCGCTCCCTCTCCTGGCAGAATCAGAAATCAGCTGTGAAGAAAGAGTGCCATTCCCCTTTGCAGAAAACTTAAGAGCGTTTAAAATAAGCAAACAATAATCTCCTCAAACGCCAGACAAAAATCAGAAAGCCTTAATTCCACAAGAAATAGACTACTGCTTTACACAGCACAGCAAATTCTTTCCAGTTAAATGACATATAAAAACTAATCCAAGGGCACCTGCTTTCATGGAAGTGGAAGGGCAGGCATCAGTGAAGCGTCAGTGAGGGCCAGCGTTAAACATGTGCCTGCCATTCTAAGGAGATAAAATCTGAGGAGCATAATTTCTTAAAACAAGAGTTTGGAAAGCTTAAAGTGTACAATTCTTCCTTAAAAATTAGCTTTCCTCCCACCTCAGGACAGTAAACAATTTATCCAAGGTGACAATCAGGCCCCCTACTGACATTTAAGGAAGAAAGCCTTTACTACTACTGCTTTGCTCTTCTCAAAGTACTCTTTATGTTTAATGATTGCATTAGCTATGTTGAGTGACAACGGGTGGGACACTTAAAAATACTTACTTTGTGTTTAACTGCTGGCAAGGCATCAACCAGTGTCTGCAGCCCTTCATGATGTGCTCCTAGCTGCAGAAGACAGATAGGAGTTAGAGAATCATTAAGCTGACATTCTACATATCTACCTTAACCAGTATTTCTTGAAAACAACAACAATCTAGAGGTATTTAGTCCTAAATTGGTCTTAACAAAATAAAAAGGCATTGTTATAGCTTATTACACAAAGTGAAATTACCTTTAAAAACACTCCAATAACAGCCAAGCCGTTACCTTCCATTACAGCTTCTTCAAATGTTGGGTACACAACAGCATTCCAGTGTACTAAATGCAACTGAAATATAAATGAATGAGAAATTAACACGTGCACAGAACACAGCAATGGCATCAAGAAACTCTACTCTTTGGTCCTTGGCAATTTGAGACACTGCAGTGAACTACCTCAGAACTCATAGAGCACAAAAACGAGAACCAAAGTGGTGTTTGGAAAGAATGTGGGTTTTTTTATTTGTTATTTTTGTTTGTTGGTTGGGTTTTTTTGTTATTTTTGGTTGTTGGGTTTTTTTCTTTCTTTTTTAAATAATAGCCAAAGACCCGTAAACCGCACTTCACAAATATGAAAGGGATTTTGTCTGTGGGAGACTAATTATAGGAAGGCTAGTTAAAAGCACAAAAAAGGCTTAGTATACCTGAAACTGAAAGACACTCATTTCTTAACAAGAATGGTACAGAGCATGCTACTCTGCTAAAGAACACTTTCATGCACATAATAAGCCATTACTTACAGTCCAATGCAAGAACTCCATTAAGGGGTTTTGTCTATTGAACAGATACCCAGAACCAGCCTCAGAAGCTGGGGACGGTAACTTGCTGTTAACAAATACCTTGGCATAATTCTGAACACATTCACAGAAGAGAAACACCTTCTCAAAAATCACCATTTTTCAAAATTCATCTTTGGCATATTACTGTGTTTATATCTGTCGTATTTTCCTCTCTGAGCAACTATATTCATCCCCACTGGCTCCGTCCTTTTTATTGGCTCTCTTTCTGCCTCAGTAGTTACTTACTCACAAAAGTTGTGCTGCTCTAATGATTGCTTAGGAGTTGAAAACACAAATAAAGTGTTAATGGTAACTGCTATATTACCGTAGAACTCTGCTGTATGTTATTCTAGCACCTTAAAAAACACATAAAAAACTGTTGATAACTGGAAATAACCTTTAACATTAGCTGAGGCTCTGTCTACACAAGACAATTGTATACATGGAAAGCAGGATTAGGCCTTTTGATTTACAGGTATGGGGGAGACAAATAATCTTTCATTTTCTCTTTAAATATGTATTTTTAAAAGAGTATTCGGTATGTGCTTCGTATCTCTGGAAGCATTTAGTAATGGTTGTGATTTTAAAGCAGTAAGGATTGAAGATTTGAGGCCCACTACAGACAGCAGCTGAGATGCAGGGCATTCACTGTACTCCCAAGAAAATGTGAACTTGCAGCTTATGGCAGAGCTCAGAGGTAAAGCACCTACATTCTTTTTATTGAGATCTGAGCTTGCACACCTACCTCAGTAATTGCTGCCCACCTGATCTGCATCACATCAGCTAGGATGTGGGAGTTCATTAAGACCCAATTGCATCCTCAGTCTGCTTTCCGTTTCATCCTTTTCTCCTTTAAAAGGGGGAAGGCCAAGCAGAGTTGTGCTACTCCATCCCTACAGAGCTGGAATATCAATGATAATTCACTGTCTGCCATTGGCTTGTCCAGCAGCTACCCCCAGGGCCATTCAGGGAGAAGAAAACATTAACTGAAACTTTCAGTAATGGGGCCAATGTTCAATTTTAAGACTGTGTTCTCCAGAAAACAGAGTGAATGTGAACTTACTAATAAAATGGTGGATGAGCTCTGGCACCTATCAGGTCTGACCTTTAACAGTAAGCTTTAATGCTTAAGACTCGGAATTTTGTAGCATGCGGTACAGTCACAGACAGCCTGACACCTAGCCTCCAGTCCCCACAAGCATTTGCATTGTTCAGCATTTTATCTCATACCTCTGCTGGGTAAAATTTGCAGTCAACTGTGTGCTCTGAACCCCAGTCATTTATAGCTCCCCAATGGAAGTGGAACTGCTTTAGCCTGTATTGGTTTTCCAAGGGACCTCCATCAATTACTAAAAACCAAAACAAGACACACATATTAATAAACATGATTTAGAATTGTCCAGACAACTAACACAGCAAGATCTTCCTTGAAATAAACTTGCTCAGTAAAAAGGTCAGGTGGAGCAATTTGCCTTAACTGGAACAGTCCCCTAATGCTTGGCTACTTGTACACTTTACTTTGATACAACAAAGTTGTACAAGCAAACACACCACTGTTTCCCCTGCAGTATGAATCAACCACATCAAACTGAAGATAAGCTAAATAGTCTCCTCATCCATCTCCCCTCAAGGGAATTTTCTCCCCCATTCACATCCAGTTTGGCAGTGATGATTACACGATATGATCTATCCTCTTTGAGCAGGCATATGAGAACTGCCTTATCCCAAAGAAAAATGTCTAATGACAAAGCAATTAATACATCTACTAAATGACATCCCAGCAAAGCCTCAGCACCTATGAAAAACACTGAAATTTTCCATGACAAGCCTTCAAAAATCAAGTTTTGCCAGAAAAATCAGTACACTGTGTCAAACATTCAATTCTGCTGTTCTTCAAGTTACAAAAGCCCAAATATACTATTTTGCTTCAATACAACTTTCAGCTTCATAACCAATGTTAAAGGTTTTCTGCACAGCCAGAAATGTATTAATATTTTGCCTACTGTGAACTGTTCAAGCTACACTCCATAAAGTATCTATGCACAAGATTCTGAGTTTCTGGAAGCTTTAATGCACTTTTTAGCCAAGAGTACAGGTAAGCATTGAGTCTGCTCTCCTGATTTCAGAAGGCCTCTCATCATTTTGCAAATACATGAATTAAAAACTCTAGGCATAGTCTTTCTATGTACTATTGGGTTTTACTCATTTCTTCCTAATCAAGCCAGGAACATGCTGCAAAGCCTTCTTCCTAGTTACTACAGGACAGCACCTGGTAAATGAGAGACCATAATTACTTCCAAAGGGCTAACAACAAATATGCAGCTGTAAAGTCCCACTTGCTGATTTTCACTTAACTGTGTATCATGGTTAAATTTTACAGCAGACCACTGTATAAAGTACATAATCTCACACTATTTGAGAAGAAGTTAATCACTTTAATGCTAAGGCAAAAACAATGAAGCTATTAAGAACTTTTCTTGTTTCTTTTTTTTTTGTGTGTGTGTTTGGTTGTTTTTTGGTTGTTTTTTTTTGGGGGGGGGGGGTGTTGTCGTGGTTTAAGCCCTGTTGGCAAGTCAGCCATGCAGTTTCTCTCTCCCCCCTCCTCTTTCTTTCCTTTGCCCCCACCCCAGCTCCCAGAGGGATGGGGAGAACTGAAAGAATGTACCTGCCACGGGTTGAGGTAAGAACAGTCCAGTAACTAAGGTATAACACAAACCACTGCTACTACCACCAATAATTATAAGGGAAATAACAAGGGAAGAGAATACGATACCACCTGCCAAAACGAGCACAACTGAGCAGTGAGTGCCCTTCTGGGTAACTCCCAGTTACATCCCGGGCATGACGTGCTGTGGTATGGAATACCTCTGTGGCTAGTTTGGGTCAGGTGTCCTGTCTCTGCTTCCTCCTGGCTTCGCCTCCTCCCTGGCAGAGCATGAGGCTCACAAAGTCCTTGGCCAGACCAAACATTTGAGCAATAACTAAAAACATCAGTGTTATCAGTGCTGTTCCCAGGCCAAAAGTCAACAACACAGTGCTGCACCAGCTACTACGAAAGAGAAAAAATGATTGCTACTGCTGAACCCAGGTCAGGTGTTTTTGTTTTTTGGGTTTTATTTAATGAAAACCAGCCAGTATTTTTGGAATTCTAACTAAGTAGGCCTGTTTGTGATAAAAGAGTAAGCTAATGTCAATTAATTGACATTTATTTCATCTGCTGCTGCTGAGCCTTTAGCAGAAGTGCAATACTGACCATCACTGAAAAATCACAATACAGAAACGTAACTTAAAGGGATAGGATGAAGATGTGGCCCACTGCAAAGTCCTTCAGAATTAGAAGTCTCTGTGCACTAAGACTACCCATTCCTGATTTTGTGAGGATGCCAACCCACAAGCAACTACATTCATGTTAATAATCATGTTTACTTGAATGTTTGCCTCGTGAGTAAAGTTAGGCACAGGGGACCCCTGTAGAAAATCAGGTTCCTGTAGTGGACACCAGAAAGTGACAGGAAACAAACAGGAATTTACAGTCCCTTTACAAACATTTTTTCCCATTTCATTTCTTCTCAATTCACCAGTTTTGAAAATTTCAAAACAAAACAGAAGTCTAATGGAACTCTAACAACAATCAGCAGAAATAATCACATCAGCTTTTTACTGTAACCCTGGATCTGTTTGTCTCATTTCCTTGCAGCAGATGGCATTTGTGCACACAGACAGGACCACACTCAGTACATACCTTTCCCAAACCCTCTTTTCTTCTCCATCTTCCTGATCTGCTCATAATCAAACACCTCATGGCAGCACTACCTTCATTTTTTGCCCAAGTCTTGATTTGCCTCATCTCAGGAGTTGGGCATTTTTGTCTATCTTGGATGCATACTTCATTTTGTGTTTTTCATCTTCTGTTTCAATTTTGTTGCTTTTCTTTATTCCTATGCTTCCTTCTCTGGATTTCTATTATTGTTAGACAGAAGCTGGCAGAAAGAAAAATCAGAAATAGCAAGTAAAGACAGAAAAGACAGAGGAGAGTGGTAGGCACTTGAAAACCTGGTCATTTATACAGCAACATCTGTTCTTTCTCTGTCATTTTGCAGTCCTGTCACCTGTCACTGATCATTTCATGTCATCCTCCACTAGCTATCATCACCCTTCACTGACTTCAGTTCGAGGGAGATGATGGTGATAAGCCAGCCATTCAGAAAGAGGCAGCAAGAATGCTTACACTTAAATCTTTACCTCAAATGTTCAGTCTTACAGATGAAGCAATGAAAGGACAAGGGGTAATGGGTACAAATTGGAACACAAGAGGTTCCACTTAAACCTGAGAAGAAACTTCTTCTCAGTGAGGGTGACGGAACACTGGAACAGGCTGCCCAGGGAGGTTGTGGAATCTCCTTCTTTGGAGACATTCAAAACCCGCCTGGACACGTTCCTGTGTAACCTTATCTAGGTGTTCCTGCTCTGGCAGGGGGATTGGACGATGATCTTTTGAGGTCCCTTCCAATCTCTAACATACTGTGATACTGTGAAGTGGGTAAGATTTTTCAGAGCTGTAATGCGCTCCAATTAGCCAGGCTCTGAAAGGCCAGCACCCCTCTGGCTGACAGTCCTGAGGCTTGCCTCTATGTCACAAAACACTGTCTCTGTGCATTTAAACACTGTGTATTTGTTAACTTCTGCAGGCAATTCCCCTCCATTACATCAGTCCTGGCAGGGAAAACAAAGAAATAAACAAAACAAAGGAACTTTGCTATCCATCAAACTGCAAACCATTACACTTCGGGAATGCATCCTCAACAGATACTGGGATATGGCTATATCAAGTAAAAGACTGTTAAATTTAAAAAGACTGTTAAGTTAAAGAAAACCAACCTAAAGTTAGTTAAAATCAATGATGAGCTAACAAGTGATGTCTCCATCTTAGTCTCTCCTCTGACCTACCTCACTTAATGCAGTAGCAGTTTGTACTGTAAAAACCACAAGAGCAATACTTGATTTCTTCATACATACAACAGCACTCGAATGAACAAGGGCAAGAATACTCTCTGGTTGGAAACAAGTATTCTGAGTGAACAGCCATAAACAAGAAAACAAAAAAAACCCAAATATCACACAAGCCTCAAAGCTCCATGCATTCCACCACTACCATTTTTGCTGTATTGTTTCATCAGCCTCTTTCAAAACATCAACCAAAAATACTGGTATTGTACAGACAAAGCACGCTGAAAGCTTCCCTCCCAAGAGCATTACTAAATCCCTTATGAAGTTTCCAGCATCTCTCATGGTAAGCAGCCACCTTATAAACAGTTCTAATCAAACAGGTTCAAACTTCCCCCAAGTCCCCCAATTTTTCCTTCCAGGACAAGTGATCAACATGAATCGTGTGCTTCACAATATCCCTGACCAACTGCAACCAGTTCACCTACCTTTACTTCTTTATACACACGAGCAATATCTTTTGGTAAAGTCAACTTTTAAAAGGAACAATGGACACAAACATCTGGAAATTGGTAGAATTCTCTCCATTTTAAGTCGCTTCACTCTGCTGAGCATTAAAAGAAGATGTAGCTGCTCAGGTCAGAATGCTTATTCACAGTAAATTACTGGAATGCATAATTTGATTTTTCATGCATGAACTCCTGCTTATGCTAAAATTAACAGGAACACATGCACCTTCTGTTCCCTATGGTAGCAACTTAGTATTACTCAATTTTCCAAGAGCTTATTGAGATAAGTGTGTATGCTTTCCAAACTTAAGTAACTTTGTTACCGGTTATTTCAAATGCATTAAATATATCTGTTAACACTGCAAAAGAGATAAGTGGCAGATTAGTATTTAAAATTTTATATACTTCACTATTTAATAAAGTGTAATATGGAATCTCATTTAAAATTAAGTAGATACATACAACTGAAGCTTGACTCATGTAGCAAAGCTGTGATATTACGAGACCTAATAAAAAAGGTAGGGGATTAAGGCTTGTGCAATGTGAGTAACTCTTAACCTGCAACACAGGGTTTGTGCAGGGTTCATGGTAGTACATACTTAGTAAGAGTAAGGCCTGCATAGAACTTTTGCATTACAGTTCCCACCACTGTAAATGCTAAAACATTCTTTCACTATACATTCATTTCCAACACTTCTCCTGAGGTTTTACAACTTGCAAGTATTTCTCCTCTCTAAGCATTAATAAAGACATTAAACAGATTTTTCTGAGTTTTTCTTACTTGATTTATCAGTAGAATCATCAAACTCAACCAGGAATGAATAGCCGTTGTTCCAGATGTGAAGACAGGTTGTTGGGTCATAGCTGATTTTCAGAGGCTTCAGGAAGGGGTCATAAACACTGTCTCTCCACTGGATATTGATAGGAGACTGTCGGGTGCCTCCAGGAATTGTAAGCGGACTCTGCCAGAGTGGATGCACTGGAAGATGATGAAGAGAGTCAGGCTCTAATGCACAATACAGAACTTCCAACTGAATACCTCAGGACTTTTTGGCAAGGGAAGATGCTTTGGCATATTGGCTCCAAAAGCTAATTCAAGTCAGCTGATGCACAGAAAAGTAAAAACAATAACACATTCCAGTTGCATGACTCAAAGCCACACAGGGAAGTGCAGTAATCTGACATACAACTGTGTTGATGACACCTTACTGCATTTGCAAAGTGCTTTTCAAAGAAATTCTGTCCCCTTATTTCCCAGAAAACTCTTCTTTTACAGCAGATTGATTTTAAAGTGGCTTCTGCTTTATAACTTTGCCTGACTCTCAGCACACCACTTCAGCTTTCTTCATACACCAGTACCATCAATTGACGTCAGCCTGCGCCAGACGCAGGACAACTCAGATGAGAAAGCAAAAATACCCCCTTGAAGGTGCTCGTCTTTCGCCTACATGTGCTTACAGGTTACACCACTGCTGAGGGTGTAGCGCCCTGAAGCAGCCATGCCCATATTGACCAAGGCTGTTTTATACAATCAGGACCTGCAGCTGATCCCACACCTGTAAAACTCCAAACTACACATTTTGAGGGCTGCTTGGATACAGCTGCATGAATACAGCTTCTGCAGGATTTTATTCTATTTCAAAGCAGAATCAAGATCCGTGTGGATGGGGAGCACTTGTTCACCTACTGCCCCACACTGATGAAACACCAGTAAAGGGTTTTTGTGCTATGCCCACTCACTGAACCCAAACTGGAGAGGCTTTCAGGCACTGCATTACTGCCTACTTCATTACCTACAACCGCTTGTGGTCTTTTGCAAGGGGAAAATAAAAGCAAATTAAATATTTTAACAAACCTCTCACATAAGGGGTGGCTAAACACCCCCCCCCCCCCTTCGGTCTCCTCAGCCAGGAGCAAACTTTATCGGCCCGCAAAAGGCCACTACACACAGGTAAGGCAAACAAAATAGTCCCCAGAAGTGCCTCACATCCCCGTTACTGTTACTGCCATTTCCTCAGGTTTTGCGGAGGACCGGCCACTGACAAAGCCAACCCGAAGTTGGTGTCTCCGCCTCATCCAAACTTTCGAGGCATCGGCAGCCCCCTCGGGACCAGGAAGCGACCGAGGAACATGGTCGCTGCCCATGCCCGAGCGCTGGGCAACCCGACGGGGCTCAGCGCGGTGGGCAGGAGGCGATGAACCGGGCGGGGAGAGCAAGGGGAGCGGGGGGACACCGTGCTCCCCTCAGCAGGCGGGAGCTGCTCCGCTCGAGGGGCGAGGACAGCGCGGGCCTGAGGGAGCCACGCGGCCCCCCTGAGGGAAGCGGCTCCCCCCTGAGGGCAGGGGCTCGGGAGGGCCGTAGCACTCACGGACGTCTCGCAGGCGGTAGGAGCAGCAGGCGCCCAGGCTGCATCGTCGCGTCCCCCGCCGTGAGACGGCGGCCACCCAAGCGCGGCGAAGCAGCGGCAGCATCGCTGAGGAGACCGCGGAGCAGCCGGGTGCCACCGCCCACCACAGCCCGGCCCAGAGCGGCGCAGCCCTTTCCGGGCCGGCCCCCGGCCGCTGCAATCCCCTCAGGGGAGCGGGCGGTGTCGCTGGCAGAGGGGAGACGGTGCGGGCGGCGGGGACCCGGCGGCTGCTTCTCCTTCAGAGGCGGGGACTGGGTTCCACCGGCATTTTACCAGTGATAACGCTATGGAGGAGATAGTACATCTCTGTGTGAGTGTGTTCGCCATTTCCCGTGGTCAGGCTGATCCCTGTGCCTGACTCACCTCAAAAATGCGTTTGCCCTGAGGGTGACAGCGACACAGCTTGCTTGCGCACCTCAGTGGGAGTTAGCTTTTATTCTTGTCTAGTTAGTTTTACTCAAGCAGGTTTTGGTTTCACCCTGCTGGAGGTGGGCTGGAGCGCGATCCCTCTCCCCCAGGGATACGGGTGTCCCTGTCCAAACTGCACACGGGAAAGCTGGGGAAGGTTAACATGACAGCCATTTTACCCAACTGCATCTGCCCCAAAGGCTGGAGGCCGAAACAGGCCCACCCCAGGATGGTTAAAAGGAGCAGATTCAACTGGGATTTGTGTGAAACCGCTTGAGGCAGGTGGATGAAACAGGTTAAAACCTTGGTTACTCCTTGCCCCTTTTTCTCTGTTACAGTTCCCAGTGAGGAACACAAAGGAAAGCCTGTAGAAGAGGACTGAGTGAAAGTGCAGAGATGGAAGTCCTCAGTTTTGCTGTGGCTGTTGAGCAGCCAGGAGCAAACACCACACCTCAGCTCCTGGCCTTCATCTGGCCACCTCCGGTGAATCCTGTTTCTTGGTTACTTTCTTAAAATCACTTTGCACATTTGCATTTACCCTCGGGGGGTGTTTTAGGGTGAGTACTTCTGAATTTTCATGAGGAACCTGATGTAGCACTGAGAATGTTCTGTTGAAGTGGGGATAAGACTAAATACAGTCAACAAAGAAGTGATTGCTCTAGTTTACAACGTTTTGTAAGAAGTTTCCATTGCATTCACAGTATAATGTATGTAGAGTACTCCTGAGTTGAGTAAGAGGTTGAAATCTGGCAAGTGATTGGCAATTAGCGGCTACATGATGAGAAAACAGATCATTAGATGTGCAAACAGCTTGTAATCTCAGGATGTTTTACAGAATCATAGAGTCATGGAATAGTCAGAGTTGGAAAGGACCTCGAGATCATCCAGTTCCAACCCCCATGCCATGGGCAGGGACACCTCACACTAAACCATGTCACCCAAGTCTTTGTCCAGCCTGGCCTTGAACACTGCCAGGGATGGAGCATTCACAACCTCCCTGGGCAACTCATTCCAGTGCCTCACCACCCTAACAGTAAAGAACTTCCTCCTTATATCCAGTCTAAACTTCCCCTGTTTAAGTTTGAACCCATTACCCCTTGTCCTACCACTACAGTCCCTGATGGAAGAGTCCCTCTCCACCATCCCTATAGCCCCCCTTCAGATACTGGAAGGCTGCTCTGAGGTCTCCACGCAGCTTCTCCTCTCCAGGCTGAACAGCCCCAACTTTCTCAGCCTATCTTCATAGGGGTTTGAATTTAATTTACTTCTTCCTTGCCAACACAGACCTTCTTTAAAGCACAGACCTTTTTTGTATATCAGGATTCAGTTGCAAACATGAACTGTGGTTTGAGTCTCAATGTTTTTCAGGATGGCTAATGTATTATCTTCAACATAACAGTTTCCTGTAACTTGAAGAGAAAGGTACTTGGTGAAACTGAAAACAGTTGCTGCCCGTAAATGCAATTTTGCATTCAGGGTTAATTACAGTTTAATAGCCAATTGATCATGGTTGGGCAACCGTATTTAGTACAGGTCAGACCTGTCTGTTGCTGAAGCTACTTATGAGCAACAGGTAGCTCCTGGTCGTGAGGACAGCTCATAATGAGCTTCATGCTTCTAATTGCAGCAGGAAGCCCAGATGTAGCTTCAGGTATTGTAATATTCAGTATAAAGAGATACTGGGTTTTATTCTTATCTACCAGGGCAAGAATGACATTCCTTCACATTCCATTCTTCCATGATGTGTCCTCTAAATATAACTAATAATCTCTGGCAGTTTAGAAATCACATCTACTAAATTAATGTATGTGTGCCCTGTATCATAGTATAGGTGCTTACTGTTGCAGAGCATAACCTGGCTTCTGCACAACTATCACTTTTGTCTGTGTTAAAAGCAGTTGACACAAAAAAAAAAAAAGCCTCAAAATCCACTACTTTATGGCATTAAGACAGACAAACTTTGTAAAGCTTTTACGAATTAGATCCTGCAAGCTTTTGAAAATGCGAAGTTTCTTATAGAGCTACTAAAGTGAGCAGAATGAGTCATTTCTTGTGTGTTGAACAGCACAACCACAGGAAAGTTCTTAGGCTTGCGGAAACAATGGGCTGTTCTGGTGCAGAACTAAAAGAAAAATAACTTTGACCTGAACATTTTTGTTTCCCTTCTGAATCATTCACAGAATCTCCATCCAGTTTTTACATGTACACGCTATTTAAGTAAAACTTCAGCATTTGATGAAAAAAAAAACCTTTTCTTCTCTAGGGGGTTAAAGAAACCACTTCAAAATATGTGCTCAGTGGCATTGGGATGGTTTGTTTTGGAAACTGCAGACAGAAAGGCAAAAACTACCTCTGCAAAAGGAAACCAAAGCTCTATACTTTCTGCACAGTCCTCAGCTAGCATGGCCAAAATCTTTTCTCGACCACTGCAGATACACAGTGTCTCCTTGGCCATGTCCCAGCTAGAGGTGGTTTATGCAAGAGAGAGACATGGCTCTCAAGCAGCAAGCTGGGGGGAACAATGGCAGCCAGAATTACAGTCTCTCTGTTGTTCTCATGTTTTTCCAAAATTGCTGCATTTCTGGACCATTTGGGAGGTTTTAGCTACATTCTCTCGTTCCTGAATGAGAAAGTTTTCTGTGTATAGGGAACACCAGAACCAGAAATCTGGCAATTGGCCTTCTGGATGAGTGATGCAGAATCTGAGTAGAAAGAGAAATAGAAACTGCATCTATTAGGTCTGTTTTCAAATGTGCAAATTTTAAATAAAAAGAAAAAAACAAAAAAGGTGAGAATTTATTAGTGTGCAGTTTGCACCCTTTGCTTTTACGCGCACCTCATTTGCAATCAGCTCACTGAGGAAGGTTCTAGTTACCGTTTACCTTTTTACATGCCATATCCATGGCATTGTCTGAACAGTTCAGTAAATACTGTAATATAACAAGCATGAGCAAAATGTGAGTCACTCATGAAGAGAGATCTGCCACAAACAGACCTATCTGTGCTTGATTTATTTTATTTAAAATCTTCCAGACAGACACAGTGATGCTCCATTTAATTTTATAGTGTTTGAAGGCTTCTTACACTTGCACTGTGTGTTTTTCTCCTTACCACTCCCAGCTGAAGTAGATGTATAGAGCCACCCAAATAGTCCAAATCTTTATAATTATTTTCTATAATTAATTGCAGCTGTGGTCTGTTTGGCATAATTGTTAAAAAGTTCATTTAGCACTGATACAAGTCTCAAAAGCTTTGGAGTGGGAATCAAGATCCAGATGAAAATGTGGGTTGTGTATAAGATTACTGGATTAGCATTAATTTATAACACAATCTCCAAGAAAATATTTTGAAGGCCACAGTTTGATGGTAAAAATCCAAAATAAATTGAGTTAAACGAAAAGTTTTACTGCCAGTTTGCACTGTTGTAAACTTGATTTAAAGAGACAAAATATTTTTCAACGTTTCATTTTTAATTTACCTTTAGGAATCCTGGGGAGGAGAGAGTTCTCATGTATGGGTTACAGAATCAGAAGAAAGAGTATGAAAATTGGTGGTTGTCAAGTAAGAATGAGGGGTACTCAGCTTCAGGGGATTCCAGTCTTTATGGGTTTAATCTTTAAAAAGAAAAGGAAAAAAGTCCCAACTTGTTGAATGAAGCATTTTGGTTTGTTTACACAGGGACTTTCAAACAACCTTCACCCAGCTCTGAAGTAAAAGAGGGAGGACAGCATGGTGGACAGCGTTCCTACTTGAAGGAAGTGCATTTTTGTCCTAAGGTGACCAGGGGCACTTTCCATAGCAACACATTCTGAATTTGAAAAATAAACCCAAACATATAACTGAAACTCAATAGAGAACCATTTCAAACTTTAGAAGACTGAGGCTCTGCTTTAGTCACTTGGATTTAATATTACAGAGGAAATCCAAAATAGGTTGATTTCTTTGAAGCTTTTTAGTATGAATCAAGATTTTGGAGGATAACAGTGATGGCTGGCTGAGGTCCATTGTGACAAGGTGTTGAAAGTTCAGTTGAATTGATGTCAGATTTGGACTGTGATTTAGGCCAGCTTATTGATAAACAGTCCAGTGCTTTTTATCAAATGGATGTAACTGACAGAGTACTCTAAGCTCTACAGAAAAGCACAGCAGATTGTGAAATGCTGAGCTTTTCTCTGCTTCCAGAATGTTTGGCAGCGATAGGAGGCTGGATGAGAAGGCAGTGGCTGAGGCTAAGTCCAGATAAGAAGGAGGTGATTCCAGTTGGCAAGGTAAAGCAAACAGAGGCTTTATCTTTTCTGTATAAAAACGTTTGCTGAAATTATGCATGCAGACTTAGTAGCTCAGCATGGAAAGGGCTTAGAAGATCTCTCATGGACAATTTGTGTAGTTTCTGCAGTTGTATGTGCAGTCCTGGAGATGGCACACCTGGATTGTGTTATTTCTGTACTTCTACAATAATTAAAAACCAAAACCTGAAGGATTCTGCTTTTCTTGTAACTTCTAAAAGGCTAAGAAAAGAAAAAGAGAAAAATACATTGAGCTCTGTTTTAGCAACAACTGCTTGGGTGTTCTATAATCTTAAAATCCCTATGAAGAGCATTTCCAGCAACTCTCTCTATTGTATTAAAAGGTGCCTGAAACCACTGCCTCCATGGTACAACATACTACAGAGCTTAGTACAGACATCCTCTGTGGTAGTCTATGTCACTAGAAATTCATACATATATGCCATGGTTCTCAGCAATGTTTTCACAGTTCTTTGTTAGTGAAGTGCAGAAATATGCTTTTGTCTTTGTGAGGAGACAAGAGGAATCCAGAAAAGGCACTAGAAAGTATCAGTCTTTGAACTGTTTAATTTATATCCTCTAAGCAAACATCTTGAGTTAACTGCTGAGTGAAAGCATCACCACACAGATCGGCGAGAGACTGCTTCTGTGTGTGGGAAGGGTGAGGGGAGAAAGGAGATGAAGTTTGGGAAAATGGTGAACTTCATATTGCAGACATTACCCAAGAAATCTACAGTCCAGTTTTCCCATTTCTTTGATCAAGTTTTTGTCACCAAAAGGGTTTTTTGTGAATAGCTGAATTTAATTGAATGTGCTTTTTGCTCTGAATGGATGTTGTGCACAGGGTCTAGCCAGCAGATGGAGGAACCTACAGGCTGGCTTATTCAGAGCTGGTGTCTGTTCACTGGCAGCTGAAACCAGCCATTCCAAAGATAGCATTTTCCTGAATCAGTTTGTTTTGGCATTTCCTGCATGAATGTCATGGAATAAAGGAAGATTTAAGTAATAAATAGCATCTGTCTTGAACTCAAAACAGGAAAAAATAAATTGAAAAGAGTAAAAAAAGATGGATACCAATTGCAGTTAATTTAAACAGCAATGGTTTTATAATGGAACAGCCTTGTATGATCTCTTCCTGGAAATCTTGCTACCGTGAAGTGAGTTTCAGTTTCTCAGTACAGTTACCCAGGGACAAGTGTCCATAGCAAAAAATACATCATTAACCCCTTACTGGAAACCAGTGAGCCATGGGTAACCGTAAAGTAATTACTTTCTCCATCCTGTGTGGAGTTCTATGGATCGTGGTATTTCTCCAGTTTACCTTCTTACTCCACTGAACATTTCAAATAATTTTCCTAGATCAGTAATTTCACTGATGAAACAGGAATGTAACACTTAACTGTAATACATTCCATTCCTTGAGTTTTTAATTCTATAGGCTATAAAGCTTAGTAGCATATTAAAACTGAGCAAGGAGCAGAATTAGGAACTGTCTAGAGGGATCCTGTGCTGCTGATTCATGGTTTGAATACTTTTTTAATGAAAGATGTTCATTCATATTGTCTTGTGTGGCTTCTGAAATTGGAAATTGTTGGACTCACAATGAATACTCGCTTGCAATCTTCATGTCTTCAAGTATAAAAACACTGAATAAATAATGAATAAAAATACAGAGTCATGACAGAACTTTTAAACCACAATTACAGTGGATTATCTGGATTTCCCCTCTGAAGCAGTAATTCATATCCCTGCACATGATGAGCCGTATTGTATGAGCCCCAACACTATACTCACTGGCACAGCTTTTGGTTTTAGCTGTTGAATTTCCAGAGCTGAAAAAGTCTGCTGATAAATTGCAGCTAAAGGAGTGATAAAGAGATTGCTTCTGACTGTTAGAATACGTCTCTCATATGCACATGTTCTTATGTGGAGGGGATGCACAGTTGTACAGACTAATTAACACAATTAATATGAATTTGTTAGGAAAGCTGCTATTTTATAAGGCTGAATCATAGTTTTTCTAAACATTACTGTACTGCTTTTCTTTGAATAGATGAACAGTGTGTTTTTCCTTGTCTTAATGGGAAAAAATGAAGTTGTTTGGTGGTGTTCAAGGCCAGGTTGGACAGAGCTTGGGGTGGGTGACATTGTTTAGTGGGAGGTGTCTGTGCCCATGGCAGGGGGGTTGGAACTGGATGATCTTAAGGTCCTTTCCAACCCTAACTATTCTATTATTCTGTGATTCTAAGTTTCTGAGCATGCTTATAAAGAAAAAAGGAAAGGAAGTACAAGTTTAAGAGACTTTCCAGCTGTACTACGAAAGCACAGAAAAGGGGAAAACGGGGTCAGGGATGCATCTGTGATCATTTAAATATTGCATTAGGAATTAAGCTCCTTCATGTGGTTGTTTCTCTAATAAAACAACTCAATGCTAATATTGCTTCTAGAATGAGGCATCTTCTAGATTATTGAGAAGGCATCTTTTAAAAATGAAGGTATAAATAAAAAAAAATAAGGAACTGCTATATTAACAAGTATTAGTAGATGGAAGTACCCATTCTGGTTTAAGGTTTCAGGATACAATTTGCATTTTCTATTCTAAGTAACAAGAAAAGAAAAAGAATATTTAGTCTAAGAACTCTGAAAAACTTTGCAAACACTGTATCTTTATAAGACCTATTCTGACTTACTTCTGACGTGCTAAGTGGCAGGGAAGCTTGCATGCTGTGTACTACATAAAGCTTCCATGTCTAGGAGTATCTAAAACACTGTGCACACTGAACTTGGCAGCCAATCTACCAGGTTTTTTGAAATGCTAGTCACTCAGTGGCAGAAAGAATTTGGCGTAGTCTTGAAAATGGATTTCCAAGTGTAAGGCTATTAAACACCGAAAGCTTCTGAATATTTCTTCCAGCTTTCAATATAAACAAAGCCTTGTGCTTGTCTCCATTCTGCTTTGCTTTATATCTGCCACAAAACCATCTCTTTTCTCATCAGTTAAGTAAATACAAAATTTGTTGTTTGATAGTTTAAATAGAAGGAAATCACATCTCAGTATTCAAGGAAGGATCTGGCTGTTCTTTGGGAAAAGTAACTGCTAAATACATTGATGGGGGGGAAATTAGGAAACAAAAGGATTCCTAGATGTAAAAAATTACTCTTTACTATTGCTCCAGCTGACATTATCTGCACATGAGCAAGTAGACACACAATCTCTGGCTGGCACCAGCTTATATTTAAATAAATTAATCAGTGTTTTAAATAACTAAATCTTTGACATCTTCTAGTAGTATCCTGCATCTCAGGAAGTGATTCATTGCAGTTATCCTGTACACCACATTTGGAGAGTTTCGTGGCTTACACTTTTCAAAATTAACGACTGCAGTGTCTATTAAATTCAGAACCCGTCAATCAATTTGCTGTAGGTAGCCAGCACTATTTCAATAAAATGAAGCACACTTACATGCACCAGTCCTGTTTTTATGAGTGGAGGTGGCCAGGCTGCAGAGTCGTGCTGGCACTGCTGCTGGACTACAGATAGTTTTCAGCTGCTTGTAGAAACGCACCAGGGTATTTGTCTTCAAACTATTCATTGCTATCACTTTGGCACTTCAAATCTTCTGTTCGTCAAACAGCCAGAGGAGCTTTTCAGAGTCCAGTGACCTATCAACACAAAGCAGAGAGAAAAAATCCTGCAGATACACAGCTTCAAGATAACTGGAGGGTCTCCAGACTGATTTATAACAAATTCTGTGAGCACCCTTTCCTGGTTGGAGACGTGGAACTGACAAGTAGTTAATTTTCAACTTGTCCCTAGGCTGCCTTCTGCATTGGCTCTGTATTTTGTTGGAGGACTGGCTAGTTGATGATTATTCTACATATGCTCTCCAGCTTTTTTCTTATCTGGCTTGATGAGCAACTAAAGTGTTACAGAAACCACTCTTTTGTATGCAAGGAGAGGTTTCTTATCATGTCTTCATGCATACATGCTTTGAATTGAACAGCTGTGTATCTGAATACAGATAGCTAAGAACTGCCGTCATTAACAGCTGCAATTCAGAGGACTGGTGACTGCTGAGACTGAGGAATTCACAGAAATCTAGTAGATCTATAAGGCTTGCCCACAGAATAGGAAGAGCAGCCTCCTGCAGAGGAGTATTTTAGCTCTAAGCACGTGACACAGCATCACTGCAGCCTCAAGGTGAGGAATTTGTTCCTCTGAACTATCCCATATCCCATAAGAGGGATATTTTTGTATAGACTAGAAATAGGAACGGGCATAAGGAACCCTAATTACTCTTCCTACTCACACACCCCTCTGACCCAGGTGAAGTATTCTTTTTCCCAGTGGGGAGAACATATTGAGACGTTTTCATGACCTATGTTTCTTAGGGATGAAAGCATGAAGAATGTTACTCTTTTACTATTTCCACATGCAATTCCAATAACATTGTTATCTTATGTGAAAGATCCATATTAAAATCCCATTCTTCAATATTCCTTGGGATGTTTGTTCTGCCTCCTATAGCTGCAATCCACGTCAATGGCACAGACACAAGTAGCTTCTGAGTTAGTGATGTAGTTTCTCAGGGTAACAGACAAGCAACTAAAGGGTCCAAAGTCCTTCCTTGAGACAGGTCCAAAGCCAAACCTGAAGACAAGTGCCCTAACAACAGAGTTCGGGGCCCAGGCTTGGGCTTAAATGGCCCCTGGCCTGCAGGCAGGGCTGTGGGTAGAGTCTGCACTTGAGCCTTGTCAGGACCAGTAAGATTTGTTAGTGGCCTCAGGGTCATGTGGGGCCTTTAGTAACTTTCATGTCAGTATTTACAAAATCCATGTGATTGGTTATTTTCCTCCATTAAGTACATAGGAAGGCATATTTTGAAAGCAACAGAGTCGATCAATGACAGAGCAGGCAAAAGTGAGAAGACTATTAACATTCTGCTATTAGAAATTTGCCATCAAACCCCACTCCTTTCTTAATCCATACAATTACCTGTGAAATATTTGTCACTTTGTTTTGTTGGTTGTTTTTTGGTTTTGTTTTTGGCTTTTTTACTTAATGAATTGTGGTGTTTTGAATTAGAAACTCATTTGCTTGGCAATATTTTCATTAAACACAGGTGTGTTTCTCATCTCTTATCACACAGGGTGTAAGTGCAAGGCTCAGGCTCAGGGAATCTACTTTAGTAGCCTGAAGTGGTAAGCTTATCTGTGCTATTTGCTATTCCAAAACCTACTATTTAGGAGAGTCTTTCTTAATGCTTGTCATTTATTATCTCAGCTGCCTGCTTCAGAGTATCTAAAAGGAAGACATTATCAATTGAGAGTTCTGCCTGAAGAACTACAACATCAAACTTCTATGGTCGCTCATGACTGTGGGTAATTACAACTGTGGAGTATTCCTGTATACGATGGAAAGGTGCTTATTTTGTCTTCACTGAAACTAGAGAAGTGAAATTTCTTGCTGTCACAACCCATCTGACTTGCTTCAGACTGGACAGGGAGGACCAATATTTCTTTTTTTTCCTGATGCTTACTAGAGGGTTGCCACTACTTACATACATTCTGGTTAACTTCAAATGAATGCTGTTACTTGGAAAGATGAAACTACCTCCTGGATTTAGTGTTTCAGGACATCTGATTCTTCTGGCATTGTGCTTGTAAGGGTCCTAAAATTGTCTCAGTTGCAACATTGCCAAGTCAAACCCAGTAATTCAGGACAAAATAGTTTTACTATAATTAGAAAGGTACAATGAAAGTGATTTCATAATCACCATTTTCCTCACCTGGTTACTGTTGTGTAACAGTGGACAGGACAATCAGTCAAGTATGAGGAAGCTGTCTGAGGTGGCATTGCTGCTGAGGAGTCCATGTGAAACCTCTACGGAGTAGCTGAGAATACCACCTAGGGCAGCCTTCACAGAGTAAGGTTGTTATGGGGTGGGCTTTAACTCTCATTTCTTTGTGGCTTGGCTCATGCTTCCTGAGTTAGATATTCCTGCAGCCTAAGGGAACCTTTTATTTGATGTCCAGATTTTGCTAGGACACTTAATAATGTGCTGAGCCTCAGCAGCCTTCTAACCACCCTTCTCCCTCCAGTTTTTCATTCTCTCTCTCGCACTGGGAGTCCCCAGACAGGACAGATGTCCAGTGTTCAGGAGTAGCAGTTATTTTTCTCCTTAACAGCTGGTGCAGTGCTGTTTTTGACTTTCAGCCTAGAAACAATGCTGATAACAACGATGTTTTTAGTTGTTGCTCAGTAATGTTTACTCTGACCAAGGACTTTTTGAGTCTCATGCTCTGCCAAGGAGGAGGGGAAGCCAGGAGGAATCCTTCCCA